AGACTAACTCCTAGTACGACCAGGTCAGTCCAGGGTCGTGCTCCAGGTAACAACAGTTGGATGAAAACCCAGCGTCTGGAGACTCTCAAGGAGTCTAAGCAAATCAGCTTTTCTGCAGGAAAAACTATCTGTCGTCTCAGCTTCGCAGGTGCGAAAAAAGGTTTACGGTTTTGACAGTGTGTCAAAATCCTTCTGGGTTAAAGAGGCTGTAGCTCAGCTAAAGATGGCCAGTCTTACAACTTTGCTCTCCAATCCTCGTTCTGTTGGATGTTCAAACTGAGGAGAAAGTAGAGTGGCTGGCTTTTATAGACCGCTGTTATCTATTACCAATGTTACCAAGAATCTCAGAACACACACTCCGTGATGCAGAGACTCTGAGTCTAGGGGCCAAGGTTAGTTATGTGTCATGCGTTTTTAATCTTAACCTTACTTTTGTCTGGTGTGTGAGTAAATGATGATGATCTCATCCAGTAAACATACTAAACTATCATTGAATACAGATTCATGAACATTTCATTTCTTATCATTATAAATAACAAAAGTTCATTCCATGATTCTTTTGTAATTATAAAATCTTCTTTTCTTCTGGGAATAAAGAGTTTATTTAATAGCGTTCTCTGTGAAGCCTTGGAGGAAAGAATGTTACTGTCATCTTTTATTATCTGTTGGAGCTGAAGTACAGCTGATGAAGGCTTCTGATTAAAGCGACTGCGTGCAGACATTCCGACTCCTGTCAGGGGAAAATACAGCAGAATGTCCCATAGCCAGGGTTATATGACCTCACTGTGCTTATGACCTGTGGGATCTCAAAATCAGGCCATTTCTTGACATTACAGGTGGGTCAAGTCCTGTTGGAGGTACTGGTGGATGGTGTTCTGTTGGAGGTGCTGGTGGGTCGAGTCCTGTTGGAGGTGCTGGTGGGTCAAGTCCTGTTGGAGGTGCTGGTGGATGGTGTTCTTTTGGAGGTGCTGGTGGGTCGAGTCCTGTTGGAGGTACTGGTGGATGGTGTTCTTTTGGAGGTACTGGTGGGTCAAGTTCTGTTGGAGGTACTGGTGGATGGTGTTCTGTTGGAGATACTGGTGGATGGTGTTCTGGTGGAGGTACTGGTGGGTCGAGTCCTGTTGGAGGTGCTGGTGGGTTGAGTCCTGGTGGAGGTGCTGGTGGGTCTAGTCCTGTTGGAGGTACTGGTGGGTCGAGTCCTGTTGGAGGTGCTGGTGGATGGTGTTCTGTTGGAGGTACTGGTGGGTCGAGTCCTGTTGGAGGTACTGGTGGATGGTGTTCTGTTGGAGGTGCTGGTGGGTCGAGTCCTGTTGGAGGTGCTGGTGGGTCGAGTCCTGTTGGAGGTACTGGTGGGTTGAGTCCTATTGGAGGTACTGGTGGATGGTGTTCTGTTGGAGGTGAAGGTGGGTCGAGTCCTGTTGGAGGTGCTGATGGCTCGAGTCCTGTTGGTGGTGTTGGTGGGTCAAGTCCTGTTGGAGGTGCTGGTGGGTCAAGTCCTGTTGGAGGTACTGGTGGGTTGAGTCCTCTTGGAGATACTGGTGGATGGTGTTCTGTTGGAGGTGCTGGTGGGTCGAGTCCTGTTGGAGGTGCTGGTGGGTCGAGTCCTGTTGGTGGTGTTGGTGGGTCGAGTCCTGTTGCAGGTGCTGGTGGGTCGAGTCCTGTTGGAGGTGCTGGTGGGTCGAGTCCTGTTGGTGGTGTTGGTGGGTCGAGTCCTGTTGGAGGTGCTGGTGGGTTGAGTCCTGTTGGAGGTGCTGGTGGGTCGAGTCCTGTTGGAGGTACTGGTGGGTCGAGTCCTGTTGGAGGTGCTGGTGGGTCGAGTCCTGTTGGAGGTACTGGTGGGTCGAGTCCTGTTGGAGGTGCTGGTGGGTCGAGTCCTGTTGGAGGTGCTGGTGGGTCGAGTCCTGTTGGAGGTACTGGTGGGATGAGTCCTGTTGGAGACCACGCTGGAGTGAGTCCTGAAGCGGTGTTTGCGTCCTGGACGTGCTGCTTGGGCCTTGTTGGATACAGCTTTTGATTCACGCTGCTCTGGCCGTTCACCTCCTGGTGCTGTGCATCATGGAGTAAATTTACAGGTTTAGACAGAGGGTGTCAGAGGGTCACATGTCTAGGCATCCAGGTGTAGCGTCACTGAATGACCTGATTCTTGACCCTCAGGTCAGAGACACAGTCTGGGTCACCTTGACCTGGCTGCTACGACAACCTACAGTGTTTCTTTCAAAGGAGACTGAATGTCTGTCTACCACCCCTTTAATCTGACTGCCAGCCCTTATCTGACTGCTATTCCTCCACAGGAAGAGAAAGACACTTCAAGATTAAAAGAATCATTTTTAATGAACTCTTTTCCCTGGCTATTACAATGTTCATAAATAATCATCATGATTCCTTATAACTGTGTTTTACTGAAATGAATTATTATTCTTTGGTTAATAATTATTATTAATGATAATCGGTAATGTTTAATAATGACAAGAAGATCATGTGCACTTCTGCACTTATACACAATCATACAGGAACAAGTAAACTAGGTTAAAGTTAACTGCACTCACATGATTCTTTTCTCATCCGCCAGAACCTTCTATCTTTGGGTAGGCGTGCTCTGAGGATTATGTTAAATCTTCCTCTGCATGTCAAATCCTGATTCGTTAGAACAGGAAATGCCCATCTTATAAAACAGAACTCTAGGCATTTTGCAAGTAAGTTCTAGAGAAATTGGGACGGCCGCCCAACGATTTTTAACCACACAAGCAAGTTCTGTCACGCTGGCAGAGTTGCTACGACACAACAAAACAACATCTGCAGAGCAAAGCTGACGCAAACTCCTTCAGAGTTATTTTCAAGACGCAACCAGTTTCATTAGTCGTGGTGACCCGGAGACATCCCAGGACCGACCTGGTCGCACCAAGGTTCTTCTACCCACCTCGTGCTTGGGGTCATCATCTCCTCTCCTGACATCTCGGATCCAAAAGGGGGTCTCCTAATGAGTGAGGTAGAAGACAGCTTGCATCTGAATGCTCTTTAATAAGAACACCTTTAGTTGATCTGCAAACCAAATTCTTTCTAACCAGAACGCAGCATACTTCACCTTAGATTCATCCATTCACAGGGTTACTATTTAATACCAAAGTATTTAATGCCAAAGTCTTTATAAATTGTCTTTAAATTGTCACGTTTGAAATTGTTTAGTAATAAATTGCTTAAACTTTTTAACTCAACTCTTTCTTGAAATAAACACAAGGAGTGTTTGATCACTGAATAAGCAAAGATCTCTAGATCTCTTGAATTTTCAAATTAACTTTAATATTAAATGAAATCTTTAAAATTAAATATTTTAATCTTTGATTAAACATAGTGTCTGGGGCACTTTGTGCCCCTGGTAGGGTCTCCCATGACAAATTGGTCTTAGGTGAAGGGTGAGACAAAGAACGGTTCACAGGATCTTTCATGGAGGTAAAGTCAAAGAGTCGGAGTACCCGGCCTGGAGGGTTACCGGGGTCCCACCCTGGAGCCAGGCCTGGGGTTGGGGCCCGTGAGCGTGCGCCTGGTGGCCGGGCTTTCGCCCATGGGGCCCGGCCGGGCCCAGCCCGAACCGGATACATGGGCTCATCCAACTGTGGACCCACCACCCGCAGGAGGAACATGAAGGGTCCGGTGCAATGTGGATTGGGTGGCAGACCAAGGCGGGAGCCTTGGCGGTCCGATCTCCGGACAAGAAAACTGGTTTTTGGGACATGGAACGTCACCTCGCTGGCGGGGAAGGAGCAGGAGCTTGTGGCAGAGGTTGAGCGGTACCGGCTAGATATAGTTGGACTCACCTCGACACATAGCATTGGCTCTGGAACCCAAGTCCTTGAGAGGGGTTGGACACTCTCCTTTGCTGGAGTTGCTCCGGGTGTGAGGCGGAGGGCTGGGGTTGGTTTTTTGTTAGCCCCAAGACTCTCTGCCTGTGTGTTGGGGTTTACCCCAGGGGACGAGAGGGTAGCTTCCCTGCGCCTTTGGGTCGGGGAACGGGTCCTGACTGTTGTTTGTGCTTATGGGCCAAATATCAGTTCAGAGTACCCACCCTTTTTGGAGTCCCTGGGACGAGTGCTAGATAGCACTCCATCAGGGGACTCCATTGTCCTGCTGGGGGACTTCAATGCTCATGTGGGCAATGACAGCTTGACCTGGAGGGGTGTGATCTGGAGGAACGGCCCGCCTGATCTGAACTCGAGTGGTGTTTCGTTATTGGACTTCTGTCCAAGGGACGTAAAAATGGGACTGTGTCATCAGTGAGGGGAGACGACGTTGTCATCCTCTGCTGCCCGCGGATAAACGGAGTAGGAAGTGGCGCCACCATCAGAGTCAGCTCTGAGGAAGTTTACAGCCACGAACAAAACTGTCAGCAAGGTAAAAAAAAAACCTTTTCTGTGTTTTAAAAAAGAACCAAAAATGCAACGTCATACTAAAACAAGTCACTTTAGTGTTAACCCTCTCAGGCTCAAAATAAGTTTTGATAAAAGGATGAACAACTAAGTCCTTCAGGGGAACTTCTGAGTTCAAAAATGCTCATGAAGTACGTATGTGGAGTAACCAGGTAGGTAGGTTTTCACGTTGCTAATCTGCAACGCCTGCCTCCAGAGGGTTAAACAAATTATTAAATCTGAAATCAGCTTTAGTCTTCAGTTTGTTCTCAATGTGCATGGCATAACGGATGGTGGCCCTCGGTAGTTTAGAAATTCTGGATACGGCCCTGCTACTGTCTCTCGTCAGAAGCGCATGCGAAGCACTGCAGCTAGAGAGGAAAAAGCTAGTGGCTTTTCAAAATAAGGTAAAAAATTTTACGTTTCGTGATATTTAAATTATTTCAAACTACGATTATGGTTGGCATAAGTGCGTAAATATAGGCTATATATGTGTCACGCCTTACGTTGTTGTACAGTAGTGTAGCGGGTTGCAATTTGTTATGGTTGGACTTTTATGTTGAAGGGCTGTTCTTGGCCGGCTGTGTGCAAAGTTACGGTTCGGTTGTTTAGAAGAAAACGATCTAGTGTGATCGGAGATCATTAACGGTGTTTCTGTTGGAGTTAAGACGTGGGCTGCGGCCAACAGTAACCCGGAATAAAGATCCGAAACGGAAACAACAAGTTGGAGTCATTACCATCTCTTAGAAAAGGCAACAAAAGTTTGTTTTATAGGTGTGGTGGCTTTTGTTGAGCCGTGGCGGTGCGACACGTACTAGTTTAGCCCAGCAGAAAGGCCCCGCGGCTGGCTGGACCCAGCTCGACACAGCAGCAGAGCGGTAAGCTTCATATCACTCTAAAATGTCGGCTAACTTTACTGTACACGTTCATTTACGGGCATTAGCAGCGTGCTAGCATTAGCATCCGACCTGCTAACGCTAGCACAATACGCTAGTAAAGTTAGCACCCAGATTAATGTGGATTCGGACGATTTTCGTGGAATAAAACGTGATCTGGGAATTGTGATGAACGCCTTTTTACACCAGATGATAACCTTCCACTGACTTTAGCAGCAGAGCGCCTGTGTGTGTTACTCCGTGAGTGTGATGTGATGTTAGCATCCAGTAAATAAATCCGATATCAGCTAAAGAGCAGCGCGACTAAGTGGTTAAAGTGCGTTTGCACAGCGGATTTAATACGAGTTTTAAAGAACAATCTCTGAGTGAAGTGAGGCTAGTTTTTGTCTTTCTGCAGATATAAAAACGAACTCTGCATCAGTCACACGCAGCTAAGCTCACTGTTGGGCAGGGCCGGACTATCATTGCAGGGGCCCCCTGGGCACAATGTGCTTAGACCCCCCCCCCCCCAAAAAAAAACATCACTGTCACCCAGCTGTAAAATAATGAAAACAACAGTAAAAGTTAGGGATGTTCCGATCACATTTTTTTGCTCCCGATCCGATTCCGAGTCATTTGATTTTGAGTATCTGCCGATACCGAGTCCCGATCCGATACTTCAGCAATACAATAAAATAGCAAGAAAAAAAGGAGACTGCACCCAAATTGACCTGTTAGTTTTTTTTTATTATTATTTATATGACGGCATCCAACATGATACCATAAGAAAGTAGAAACCTTTTGTTAGTGCAGCAGCACTTCAAACCAAGTAAACAAAATTATATCTTTGTAGCTTATCAGTGGTGCAACAATATGTAAACAAATTTGTTTTTATAGAAAAGTAGAAAAGGTTTGTAAAATAACTCAACACAATAATAGAAGTTAAATTAAAGTGCTTACCTCCACCTCTAAGAGGTAGTTGCATAATTCAGTCAGGTAACAAAATAAAATACATCTTAGGCCTTTAGACTGACTAGTTTATTAAAACGAACAAAATATATGCCTAATCAAAGTGGTGTACGAACTTGACACCATTCAAGAATAAAACATCAACATCAAATTGCAAAGAACTGGTAAATCACCTCTTCCATGTGCTCTACATGGAGCTCAACTTTTACTCTAAGGCTCCCAAATAAAGTGCATGTTTTTTTGAGGAAAATCAGCATCTCTAACTTGTCGGGGGAGAGCCGATTCCTATTCTCATCAAGAATGTTTGACACTGCACTAAAGAGTCTCACTGTCCACTGAGGTGCAGGGGGCACAGAGAAATTTGGTTGCAACAGCAGCCAATGAAAGAAACTGTGTAGCATGTGTTTTCCAGTAGTCTAGAGGATTGCTTTTCCTAGAGATGGTTTGTTCCGAAAGGTAGATCCGTACCTGGACATCTGCTGATGTGGTACTCACAGATTGGGCCTCTGGCTGACGCTCTTCTAAGATCTCATCTAAGATGCTGCCAAGGCTGCTTCCTGCTCCTTGACGAGGTGCCTTGCTCACAGGCTCTGCTGCCTCTGGTTCTTTACTGGCAACCCTGTTCTCCATCTTCATCACCTCCTGGATGAGGGAATCTTTAGCAAACCTCAGGTGGTCTGACTTAGTGAAATATCTACAAGATAAATGTAACAATTTTTTTTAAAAATGTTAGGCAAGACACTGCATAACACAACAGTTCAGCTGAGGAAATGTTATATTTACATAATAGTAGGGCTGCAACAAACGATTATTTTCATAATCGATTAATCTGTCGATTATTTTTTCGATTAATCGATTAATCGGTTTGTTATTGTTTAGCTATTTAACCTATACAAGTGATGGATGCATTTCAGTTAAGAAAAAAAACATAAGAGGATTGTGCAGTTGACTGCAATCTATTTTATTGCACATGAACACAGTCAGCAGTATAAAATGAGCTAAACAGTGCAAAATATCAGTCCAGAATAATTTTTTAGCATTAGCTGGAAGCCTGCTCCTTCCACCATGGATAGTGGCCTCATGTCTTTTACCAGCATGTTTAGAATAGAGTTTGTAAGTGGTATGAATTGCTGGGGGGTGAGTGTCTTGTTCCCCATGTAGTTGTCCATCGTTGCTTGTTTTTTTTCTGCATAAGAAACACAAATAGACTGAAATAAGTACACATATAAAATAAAGCAGCACACACACTACAACACTAAATCAATATTATATTATTTGAATCAGTTAACAATATACAGTGATCATTTATTTTGAGGGTTACGTTCTACAAAATAGCCCGCAACAGGAGATATTCAGAAAAAAAGTCTAATTTTTTTACTATTAAAAAGCTCTAAGTAAGAAGCTCATGAGGTTTTTACTTTGAGTCGGGAGTGTTTAAATTAGCTAGAGAAATGTGAAAAATGTTTATTTTGTGTAATACTGTTTAAGAAACATGATAAAAATGTGTTGTGAGGCGTTTTACAGCGTTAGACAGTAAAACAGCCTTTTAATAGTAAAAAAATGACTTTCTGAATTTCTCCTGTATTTAAAAATTGAAAGCGTACAACTATGCCGCGTTATATTCACCTAGACACAGCTCGTCTGTATATTTTCACCGCGGAGTTGTCCTTTTTTGAATGAGGAACATAGTTATGGGTTTGTGCCGTTTTTCTCTTAACGAGAACATTCTTATAAACAGACGTGCTGAATTTGGTAAGCGCATGATACACAACACGGAGGAGATTCACGATTGCATCTAGTCAATCAGAAGTAGAACACCGTAGACTGCCGCGGCAAAAAAACATGTTTAACATCCACTATAACGAACTCAGCTAAAACACTAAGTCCAGCTTGTTTATTTTCTGTTACTTACCGGGCTGGCTCTTCCAAATGACGGCTCACTTGACCGCGGTGCTCTTCCTCTGCATCAGCCCCCACATGTTTTCGTCTCAAATGTTCACTTAGGGACGTCGTGCTTCCGTGCCATGCTAGATGGTTTTTGCATATTTTGCCTTTTCAAGGCATCTAGAGTGAAGTGCTCCCATACTCGTGAGGTTTTTGTCCGGGGTTTCTCTAAAGTTTTGTCGCTTCTATTTTTCTTCCGTATTTCCTCTTGTTCCGCCATCTCTCACAGCAAGATGAGCGTCAGTAACGTGATACGTCATGAAAACCGAGGGCACTCATTGGCTCATTTCTTCTTCTACGGCTCCACTGGTAGATCAGTGGCTCATTACTGCCACACACTGGCGGCAAATTTAACAGCTTGTAACCGATGTCAGATTGTGGTAAAAATAGACTTTATGCGGTAAAATATGATTATTAAACAGCTAATCGATGACTAAAAAAGTTGTTAACTATTTTAATAATCGATTATAATCGATTAAATCGATTAGTTGTTTCAGCTCTACATAATAGTAAATAATTCTCTAATCATTAACAGAGCTAAATCTAAATTTTAAAAACATAATTAGACATTGGCTGACTTACTATTTTGAAAATTTATTTTCTTAGAATCAAATTAAAAATGTACATTATTTCTTCTTGCCTGTCTTTGTATCTTGGATCCACTAAAGTGGCGATGCTGTAGAGTGGTTCCTTTTCTACCTCAGCGAAGCGAGTCTCCACTGTCTCTAGGAGAGTTCTTTTCATGGTTCGAACACCCTGGTCAGTCGTTTGCTCTCGAGACAGTACACGTCCGAGAGCTGTTTAGAGAATGAATAGATGGATAACAGTTTATTACTTATTTAGAATAAAAATCATTGTGTGTTCTTTAATTAAAATGTAGAAAATAAAACAAAACCAACCTGAAATGGCAGGGATCACATCTTCTGCAGTTGCAGTCTCCTTGCTCACTTCCCTAGTCAGTTCTTCCAAGTAGGGCTGCAACAAACGATTATTTGGATAATCGATTAATCGGATGGGGTCTCGACACGATTAATCGATTAATCGGATTACATGGGGAAATTTTTTAAAACTGCTAGGGAAACGTTATTTCTCTCCTTCCTTCACTTTATTTAACACAACATTATTAGAAAACAGTTCAATAGCAGAAAAACAACATGCCATCACCTAAATTGTCTTATAAGGTGTATAGACAGAGACCCTAAGCTACATCTATCTGTGACCTAAAATGCTTGGTCCAAGTTAAACAGCTTAAGGGCAATTCTCATCTGTTTTGTTTGATCTCATCTGTTGACATTTATTTTAAATGTAATGAAACATAGGCTGTGAATTAATCAAAATTGATCACTATTTCCAAAAATGACTGAAAAAATACCAAATAAAACAAAAGTAAATGAATGCCATCCTCCTTGCGATGATGCCCTGGGCAACTGCCATAAAGTCACATCAAGAAATGCTGCTGATCATTCCAATGATCCCAAATAGACTCACATTAGGCCACATGAAAGCAACTGAACCCAAAAATATATTAACCAGTATATAACTACACTCTCACACCACATCCCTGCAGCAACAGTTAGGACTCCTCCCTCCCTTTTAAAAGCGTTTTTGCTTCTGAGGACATTGTGGTTGTAAAACCACATGCTAGTAGTCTGGCCCCGGTGTGATCAACCAGTTTCTGCGGGAATGTGACGGCGGAACCAGGGCCAGATTAACACTTTGTTGTACCCTGGGCAACAATATTCAAGGGCTCCATCATCACGACCCAAGGATCACCATAATGTGGTCACATACAGAATATTTTACTGTAATATGCAGTAAATATACTCAATACTTGAATGCCTGACAACACGTAACCCGCCCAGAGTAACCTTTGACCCACCTCGTGTGGACTGACCAATGAGGAGAGGGTCTTAACTTGAGGCCCTCTCTTCATTGGTCAGTCTGCATGAGACTGACTCTCAACTGACGTCCAGTCGTAGGCAGCGAAGCGTCTCTGTGCAGTGCAAAAGCCCGGGTGGACAGTTTGTTTAATGTAGGGTGACCATATTTCCATTTCCAAACAAGAGGACAGGGGATCTGTGCCTATGATGTCACACTATGGCAACGCCACACAAACCATGTTGGGAGCCATTTTTTGTAAGAACTAAATTAATATCAGATTCTGCCAATTAAAGGTCTCTAAAACAATTCATATGTAAATATTTTGCATATTTAATGCAAAATCTAATTTTTCTGCTTTAGTGCTGCAACAAGGTTTTATTAATAATAAATTATTATACCTTTTGTTTTACTACAGCATCGGTAAGCTTCCTGTGCACAGATTATTAAGGATGCTTGTTTCAGCTGTGAGATTAGACAATAGGATCAATGAAAAAATAAGTTGTCACACACTCCATGGAAACTTTCAGAGAATCCACAAATAGTGGCTTTCAAATGGTTTTGTTACTTTTTGCAAGTTTATAAAAGAAGCAGATGAGACAGCATGTCTGATAATTTAGTTTTTCATCTGATAATATTAGAACATGTCAGTAATGTCTGAGGGGCTTTTATAAACACCATATAACTAACACTACTGGAGAGGGCATGAATTACACAGAGGCTTCTGGGGAGCCCAGTTATTGGGGGGGGGGGGGGGGGGCATTTTGCCTTGGCCCCAAAAATGTCTTGAAACGGCCCTGGGTGTGTGACTGAGTTTTGAAGGTGATCTGAATTGTATCAGATGTATAAATATAACATGTGTATAACTTATTGTTTTTTACTGGTAAAAACGTGTAGTGGAGATAAATCTACCTACATTTGACTTTTCAACACTTAGTTTTGTTTTCTTGTTTTTATTTAACTATTTTCCTGTCCTGTCTGTCTCTCATCTTCCTGCATCTCCTCTTAATTCTCCACAAAATATGTTGCCTTGATTCTTACCTTTTCACCTCATCAGTAACTTTTGAGCAGATCAAAGGGATCTCCTGACCGAAAAGCGCAGAGCGCGTTTTCGATGCTGCGTGAGGTGACATCACCACAGCACAGGTGATGAGCTCCGCAGTAGCACGCTTCAGGCACAAATAAGACAGAAAATAGAGAACATGTGCGGACATGAACGATCGTGTGCTAATTATAGTTTTTTGGTTGCGCCACTTTGAGAATGGACCATGCGCTGGAAGCAGCTGCCTGGATCGCTGCGCAACAATGCGGAACCGGTTCGCAGCAGCGCAAGTCTGCCGGCTCTCCCTCGCGCTGATCTGCAGGTACCGGCTCTCCCTCACTCTGATCTGCGGCTCTCCCTTGCGCTGATCTGCCGGCTCTCCCTCGCGCTGATCTGCGGCTCTCCCTCGCGCTGATCTGCTGGCTCTCCCTCACGCTGATCTGCCGGCTCTCCCTCGCGCTGATCTGACTTGCTCTGGTCTACGCGCAACGGCGGGCGGGAAGGGGGGGCTTTTTTGGAAGATTTGTGCGACACAACGAATCGATGACGCAATTCGTTGCCAACGCTTTTAGTAATCGATTTTCATCGAATTTATCGATTCGTTGTTGCAGCCCTACTTCCAAGGGAACTAACACTTCAGCTGTATTCTCCATCAGGGTCCACTGACTAGATGTTAGTGTAGCAGGGAGGTTGTGGTCAGCTGTATAGATGCTGAGCGCTCGCTTTTGCTCCAGAATGCTCTGTAGCAAATAGAGGCTGCTGTTCCATCTAACATGCACATCTTGCTGCAGGCGCTTCACGGTCATCTTCAGAGAAATCTGGATATCTTCCAGGCGTGAATAGGCCAAAGGAGAATGTTTGAAATGGCCTATTATCTTCCTGGCATTAGCCATTGTGTCTGTGACGCTGCGCTGAGAGAGCAGACCCTCGTGCACAACAAGTTGAAGCGTGTGTGCAACACAGCCCAAGCTCGGTACTGCCAAGTCCTCCATGGCTCTCTTCATATTTCGCGCATTGTCACGCACAATTACATGGACACGTTCCTTTTCAATTCCCCAACTGTTCAGCATCTCTTCGATAGCCTGTTTCACATGCTCTGTTGTGTGAGATCCGCGAAAATGTTGCGCATTTAACGTAGCACGTTGTAAATTGAAACTCGAGTCGATCCATTGTGCAGTGAAGCTGATCAGTGACATTGGACAAACAGACAAACTCCATATGTCTGTGGTAAACCCAAAAGCAGACACCTTTGATAACATGACTAACAGGTGGTCACGTAGCTTGTTGTGAATGCTGGGCAGAGCTGTGTCTGTAAAGTAGCTTCGAGAAGGTAACTCGTACCGTGGCTCCAAGTGCTCCATGAGACGGCGAAATCCTACGTTTGAAACCACAGACAGTGGCTGGTCATCTAGTGCAATAAATTCAGCTATCTTGGCTGTGATGTTCTTGGCCTTGTCGCTATCCTTAGGAAGTTTTTCTTTGTTTTTCAGCATAGCTTCCAGTGTCGGCTGGCTCCATGTTTTGATCTGCGTTGCCGCGGTGAACTCGGAATATTGAGCTGGATGTTTGTTCTTAAGATGCCGGATCAGGTTCGTGGTGTTAAAAGCAGCTCTGTCTTTTCCACCACGTGAAACACTCAGTTTGCAAATGTTGCAAGTGGCTGTTGGACAGCCTTCGGTCTCCAGTTTAAAATGATTCCAAACCGCTGACATTTTTTGCTCTCCTGGAGCGAGACGAGCATTAACCTGCTTGCTAACTGCTACCTGAATTCCACGGTCCACTTTAAAACGTGTGGCATTACGGCTGCCGTATGGTGTCATGTCGTTATTGAGGAAGTGAAACTTGGTACAAAATTAAGCCATTGTTATTCAATTTGAAACTCAAGATTAAAAATGTCATGCTTGTTGTTTTATAAGGTTAAATCCGATCTTTAACACCCGATTCCGATCTTTTAAAAGTCACGTGATCGGGCCCGATTTCCGATCACGTGATCGGATCGGAGCATCCCTAGTAAAAATGCTCCTTTGCTTTTTAGAGTCCACATCCAGAAGGCTGGAGCCGTGTTTCACTGACAGGCTGTCAGACCTGATGAGCTCAGCTGGGACAAACTGGTCTGATGTTTAGGTAAGTGAAGATCTGCTTCTCCAAGGCCTTGAGATGCTAGTAAAAATAATGTAGCCAGTGCTAATGTTACTTTTCTTCTCCTCTGAGGAACACAGAACGCTCAGATGTTGGAGCTTCACGTCACCTACTGAGGACCACCAGTAAAGGGACTGCGTCTGGACCAGACCAAAGTGAGTGATGACACTTTAGCCCTACACCTCAGCCTCTAGGAACCACCCTCATCATCATTAACTCATTCACTGCCATTGGCGACAAAAGTTGTCCTTTTAAAAGGAACCCAGGTTACAAAACTGTGGTTCTTAAAAGATAAATGTTAGTATCAGTTATATTAAAATGGTTTAAAAAAACCTTCTTGATGTCTTAATCTTTATAAAATTAGTGAAAATAGTTTAACTCGTAGGTAGGTCGCCATTGTTGTTAGCGTCGCACTGCACTCTGGGTAGTGACGTCATATGGTTGTACCTCGGTTGGCCCGGCGGCTTTGGGACCCTGTAGTGACTGTTGAGCGACATCAACATGTCATCTGTTCAGCCTTTTCACTTTGAACCAGAGCGAAACATTAATGATGACATCACTGACCATGTTTCACAAAACGAGCATCAACATGAAGAGCAAGAAGGGCGGGATGAAGCGAGAGCAGGACAGAACCAGTGGCGCGTGTGCAGCAAATGCATCTCCATGGTAACCGAGAGGGAGAGAGCTCACATTTGTGTCGGCAGAAGTTATCTGTAAGCTATCATGTGATCAGATTTATTTAATGATGAATGATTTAGGTGAATTTTAGCATCCAGAGCTGTCGTGTGCTTCATAGATGATCAGGATATTCAGTGAAACCACTTAAATCATTGTTGCAGATATTATATATGTGGACAACACTGTGTTGCTACACTTACTGCTTGTTTTACTGACGGGAGAGGTGAATGTTCAGCTTCATCCGTGACGAGTGGCGTGTCCGATGGTTGGCTGAGCGTGACCGAAGCGGCAGCTGCAGGAGCGGGTTGTCTGCTCAGGACAGCGTCCAGCGTCTCTCGTCCCTCCGAGGGCGTTTAGGCTCCTTGTGTGGGAAAATGGTCGCTAAAGCATTTAGTTTCCACTGTAGGACTATGGTTTATGCTCTTTTATGAAAGAGGAACCATTCTACATATTAATTTGTGATATTAATTTTATTAAATTAATAACCAAATTGTATAGTTTTAAGAAGACTCAAAGGTTGTTTTCATCGATAAACTGACGATAATATCCGTGTGTCTGTGTTTCAGTTCAATGAAGAAACAAGTTTGAAAATTAAAAGATTTAATTCTTCAAACTAAACTAATGAATTTTGAAATGACAAACATGGAAATGACAATCAACATTGGCAACTTTGTGGGACAATCTTTAACAGTTGATATGCTTATTCAAATAGACCTTGTGGTGAATGTGTGAAGATTGAACATGAGGTGAGATGAAGGCATGTGTGTGTGCGTTTGATTTTGCTTCAGGAAGAAACAGGTGTCTGAGTGAAGTGATGGTTTGGATAAACTTAGGTCTTATCAGAAAAACTGCATCAAATGCTATCTGTCGTGGAATGCCTCACCGTATTCGGACCCTCTGTTGGACCCGGGACGTCACCTTAGGAATATGTTTCATCCAGGGCACCTTGGCTGGCAAAGAAGACAAAGATGCGCCACGAACCGGTCCAGAGTTGTCCTCGGTCCACGTTGATGGTAAAGCGTTTGCAGATGCGCTTTCTTAAGTTTAGTTTACTCAGAAATCAAAAGACTCGAGGCGAGTCCGCGTTAGTTGTTGCAATTCAGCTGTCCTGTCTGGCTGACAGGAATAACGGGAGAGGGGGGGGGGGGAAATGAGCCGATAGGCTCCGTCCCCCCTTTAGCGTTTATTCAGGTCTTCTCTCTTTCGTTGTCAAGCACCAACTGAACTAAGAACTGAAACTTACCAAAAGCCTTTCTCTTCTCAAAGCAAAACATGTGCGTCAGCAAATGTGTTTTGGAGTTTACTGTGAGAGCAGATGTGTGTGTGAATGTTTGAGTGTGTGAAGGTCACCACTAAAACATCCTCAGAACATTATTTAATTAAGCAGTGATTCATTAGTTATTATGATTACCCAAAGCATAATAATCATTCAGTTCAGTTCAGTTCACTTTATTTCAAACATATACATTCACCAACATTTCATAAAATCATTCCACGCAATTGTTTGAAAAGGAGTAGGGAGAAGTGTATACTTATTTAGCCCTACCCCCTCAGGTTTACATCCTCATCATCAAAATTTAAACAACATAACAGTTACAATGCCTTCAAAAAAAAAACCACAAAAAAAAATAATAATAATAAATAAATAAAATTCTCATGTTCAACTAGAACTATATTTAGATTTTCTAATTTGTAGAATAGATTAAACATCAGTAGGGCTGCAACAACGAATCGATAAATTCGATGAAAATCGATTACTAAAAGCGTTGGCAACGAATTGTGTCATCGATTCGTTGTGTCGCACAACTCTTCCAAAAGCGCCCCCCCCCCCTTCCCGAATCCCGCCCGCCGTTGCGCGCAGACCAGAGCAAGTCAGATCAGCACGAGGGAGAGCCGCAGATCAGCGCGAGGGAGAGCCGCAGATCAGCGCGAGGGAGAGCCGCAGATCAGCGCGAGTGAGAGCCGGCAGATCAGCGCGAGGGAGAGCCGCAGATCAGCGCGAGGGAGAGCCGCAGATCAGCGCGAGGGAGAGCCGCAGATCAGCGCGAGGGAGAGCCGGCAGATCAGCGCGAGGGAGAGCCGCAGATCAGCGCAAGGGAGAGCCGCAGATCAGCGTGAGGGAGAGCCGGTAGCGGCAGATCAGCGCGAGGGAGAGCCGGCAGACTTGCGCTGCTGCGAACCGGTTCCGCATTGTTGCACAGCGATCCAGGCAGCTGCTTCCAGCGCACGGTCCATTCTCAAAGTGGCGCAACCAAAAAACTATAATTAGCACACGATCGTTCTTGTCTGCACATCTTCTCTATTTTCTGTCTTATTTGTGCCTGAAGCTCGCTACTGCGGAGCTCATCACCTGTGCTGTGGTGATGTCACCTCACGCAGCATCGAAAACGCGCTCTGCGCTTTTCGGTCAGGAGATCCCTTTGATCTGCTCAAAAGTAACTGATGAGGTGAAAAGGTAAGAATCCAGGCAACAGATTTTCTGGAGAATTAAGAGGAGATGCAGGAAGATGAGAGACAGACAGGACAGGAAAATAGTTCAATAAAAACAAAAAATCAATCAATCAATCAATCAATCAATCAAAGCTTTATTTATAAAGCGCCTTCCGCAACCCTGTCAGGAAGCCCAAAGCGCTGAAAGTGAAACAAAGCGCTGAAAACAAAGTGTTGAAAAGTAAAATGTAGGTAGATTTATCTCCACGACACGTTTTTACCAGTAAAAAACAATAAGTTATACACATGTCATATTTATACATCTGATACAATTCAGATCACCTTCAAAACTCAGTCACACACCCAGGGCCGTTTCAAGACATTTTGGGGGCCAAGGCAAAATGACCCCCCCCCCCCCATAACTGGGCTCCCCAGAAGCCTCTGTGTAATTCATGCCCTCTCCAGTAGTGTTAGTTATACGGTGTTTATAAAAGCCCCTCAGACATTACTGACATGTTCTAATATTATCAGATGAAAAACTAAATTATCAGACATGCTGTCTCATCTGCTTCTTTTATAAACTTGCAAAAAGTAACAAAACCATTTGAAAGCCACTATTTGTGGATTCTCTGAAAGTTTCCATGGAGTGTGTGACTAGTTATTTTTTCATTGATCCTATCGTCTAATCTCACAGCTGAAACAAGCATCCTTAATAATCTGCACAGGAAGCGTACCAATGCTGTAGTAAAACAAAAGGTATAATAATTTATTATTAATAAAACCTTGTTGCAGAACTAAAGCAGAAAAATTTGATTTTGCATTAAATATGCTAAATATTTATATATGAATTGTTTTAGAGCCCTTTAATTGGCAGAATCTGATATTAATTTAGTTCTTACAAAAAATGGGTCCCAACATGGTTTGTGTGGCGTTGCCATAGTGTGACGTCATAGGCACAGATCCCCTGTCCTCTTGTTTGGAAATGGAAATATGGTCACCCTACATTAAACAAACTGTCCACCCGGGCTTTTGCGCTGCACAGAGACGCTTCGCTGCCTACGACTGAACGTCAGTTGAGAGTCAGTCTCATGCAGAATGACCAATGAAGAGAGGGCCTCAAGTTAAGACCCTCTCCTCATTGGTCAGTCCACACGAGGTGGGTCAAAGGTTACTCTGGGCGGGTTACGTGTTGTCAGGCATTCAAGTATTGAGTATATTTACTGCATATTACAGTAAAATATTCTGTATGTGACCACATTATGGTGATCCTCGGGTCGTGATGATGGAGCCCTTGAATATTGTTGCCCAGGGTACAACAAAGTGTTAATCTGGCCCTGGTTCCGCCGTCACATTCCCGCAGAAACTGGTTGATCACACCGGGGCCAGACTACTAGCATGTGGTTTTACAACCACAATGTCCTCAGAAGCAAAAACGCTTTTAAAAGGGAGGGAGGAGTCCTAACTGTTGCTGCAGGCGTGTTGTGTGAGAGTGCAGTTATATACTGGTTAATATATTTTTGGGTTCAGTTGCTTTCATGTGGCCTAATGTGAGTCTATTTGGGATCATTGGAATGATCAGCAGCATTTCTTGATGTGACTTTATGGCAGTTGCCCAGGGCATCATCACAAGTAGGATGGCATTCATTTACTTTTGTTTTATTTGGTATTTTTTCAGTCATTTTTGGAAATAGTGATCAATTTTGATTAATTCACAGCCTATGTTTAATTACATTTAAAATATATGTCAACAGATGAGATCAAACAAAACAGATGAGAATTGCCCTTAAGCTGTTTAACTTGGACCAAGCATTTTAGGTCACAGATAGATGTAGCTTAGGGTCTCTGTCTATACACCTTATAAGACAATTTAGGTGATGGCATGTTGTTTTTCTGCTATTGAACTGTTTTCTAATAATGTTGTGTTAAATAAAGTGAAGGAAGGAGAGAAATAACGTTTCCCTAGCAGTTTTTAAAAATTTCCCCATGTAATCCGATTAATCGATTAATCGTGTCGAGACCCCATCCGATTAATCGATTATCCAAATAA